CTGCTGAAAATGAGGCACACCTCTCCTAAGGTTGGGAGCTATCAGAATTTGAACTGGTTTTCTTTGTTGCGTTAGAAAATGGGAACGGTGCCCCAAAAACCAGAAGTGGATTAGCCAAGTTATTGCTAAAATACTAGCCTAAATTAAAATACTGATATTGTACTATGCTACTCCCAAGTTCTAGAGATGCAACATGGCCTTCTGCTCTTACTGTAAGCAGTCAACATTCCATGTGTGGATGTCTTCCATGCTGTGTGGTTTGGGTGTGTTAGAGATTTGGTAGCTGTTAGAGTAAGAGCTAACCTGTTGTTATGAAGAAGGGGGCACTTCAGAGGGGGAACTGGAAGACTGTTATTTATCAACCTTCAGATCTGTTATAGAGAGTTTTGTCAAGACTGTCCTATTTGACAGGTTATATGTATTCAGGGAGGGAGAGTACTTGGTTTTTCATTGTACTGAGCCAAGTCCTTCTGATACAGTGGGACAGAGTGGCATTGTAACAGGAAGTTAATGACCGCTGCATCAAATAAATTCTAGCAACATACCTGCTTCTTGCAACCTGTTTTTCCTTTGACATTATCTTAACCCAGATGTTGCGATTTAAATTAGCTTAAAACTAGCTCCCTTCAAGAAAGCTAGTTTACAAACTTATATGGAAAGAAGGCGGGGGGAGAAAACGGAGAACTATACTGTAGTGTTTGTTTCCTTACAAAGACTGTTGCTTTGTTTTAGGTCCGATTTGCTGCTCTGCTTACTTTGGTAGAAGTTGCACAAAAACTGAAGGAGAACTACCTGGTCCTGCTACCAGAATCTATTCCATTCCTAGCTGAGCTCATGGAAGGTAATGTTCTAAGTGGCATTAGTGAAGGCAGACAACTGGCCTATGACCAAAAAAGAATAAGGGCCACTTATTTCAAAGATTCAGACAGGGTGATTGCTATAATTCTTATGAATTGGTATACGGTAGCTTAAACTGTGCAGGCTGCAAACCGAAATGGATTGTGTCCAACACACTCCTAAAGTTCAGTTAAATTACGGTAGTTTCTTCAGTGTTATAGCCTGTGCACATCTCTGCAGTTGCATGTTTTAGATCAGTGTTACAGTAGAAATAATTTGCCTAAGTAAGTCCTGAGTCAGTGCCAAAATATTTTTGAATAATTATTTCATACCTGGTGTTTGAAGACAATTCTAGCCTTGACAGGTGAAGCAGTCTTCCTAGGGTAGCTTTGTAATCACTATTCAACTTAATTCCTGCTTTATTTCTTTTTCTAGATGAATGTGAAGAAGTTGAACAGCAGTGTCAGAAAACAATTCAACAACTGGAAGTCATTTTGGGAGAACCTCTCCAAAGCTACTTCTAAGTTTATCCCCTTTGTTTTCAAATTTTGTCTGAATGGTGTTAGCGTCACACATGCAAGCGTTACAGGCAAACTTGTCATACCAATTTTTATCAGAGCTGAGATCTTAACTTTTTAATAAAATATTTATCATTTCTGGATGGTCTGGGGACTTTTCATATGACTTTTCCTTAACTGCTCTTTTCTTGACAGTGGGAAACTGGAGCGAGCTATAAGCAAATTCTGATAGCTGGGCACAAACAGAGTGACAACATCTGAGACTGACTGAATTCCACGGTGCTCGGGGTATGCAGTTACTGTCCCTGTGGAGGGGCTGCCATGCTACAATGTAAGCATCGTATTCACTGAACCCATGCACTGCAATCCCGAGAATCTGCTTTTCTGTCACTTTTAGGGAAGTAAAATGTACACCCACTGAAGATACTGAAGAAGTTACGAGAAACTAGGATTCATATAGGAGCTAAAGCTGGTTTTTTAGTCTTTAAAGACTGCTACTGATTAGCTTCTTATTCACCTGAAGATCAAGAATAAATTGCTTGCTATGTTAATGAATTTACCAAAAAACTCACCACCTGTTTTGCATCAGGAGGTGCTGGTTCATTACACTGCTAGTAAGAAAGGCACTCAGACTCCGTAAAGTACGGTTTAAAATGCAACTGGTTAGAACTAACACTATAAAGAGGATAATCTTACATCCCATCGGGTACTGGGAACAGGCCTCTGTTCAGGGTACAGCATGCCATGCAGATCCCGTCTGCGGAAAGGTTACTCCATCATGGTCATTTGTGCTCTTACAGGATTTTTTTAAGAGAAAACAACTATTAATCAATCATGTCTGCTGTCAAACAAAAAGGATGGTCACATGAGACCTTCCTCCTGAACTCCCAGATAAAGGCAAGGACACACAAGTGGTGTAATTGCCATTACCGTGGGAGCTGCCTACCAGCTCCTCTGTTACAATCAGCCAGCTAAGTTTATCCTGCGGCTAAGGGGTACGTACAGCACAACACTGCCCTGAAGGCCACACCAGCACAGCCAAGGCCTAGGACTACTCAGGTTTAACTGGTCTGTGGATCGCTAACTCCTCGATGTGGAAATGGTCCTCCAGTTAGGATCGCTATAGCACCTTGAAGATACTGCTAAGATAATAAGCAAAACAAGACAAAATACAGACCAAAAAGGGATCATAGCTACTTAGCTACACTTGGAGAAAAGCAGAGTTCACAAATGTTTTTATTTATGCTTTTTATATATTAGATCTGGTAATTTATCTTAAACAGTCTTTTAGGGTACATCTTATTCTTGAAATTGTTTCAGTCTTTTAGCAGCTGTTAAGATAAATAGGAACATCCCTCAGGCATGTATTGACAGCCAGTAGCAACTTATTTTTAAAAAGAGTATAAAAATTAAGACTGACATTTGTACGGAAAACTGATTAAATAGAACAGCTTGTTTCAGAGAGATAGTATTTTAATACAGGACTGAAAAAGGATTCATTCTCTATTCCACTGATGAGTATCTGAGTCTCATCTCAGCTGAAACCCTGCCTGGACTACCTGGGTTCACACATTATTAAAAAATGAAAAACACAAACATCTACTTCAGTCCCTGAGCACTCTCAACTCAGGAGCCATTTCAGATCAAACAAGCTTTCAAAAGTTCATACAATTGGAACCAGCTAAATCATTCTAATTTGTTTCACTTTGGAAAACAAAGCTAGAAATGCTGCTGTATGTTTAAGCCACTTATAAGCAGGAGGTGAGATAACCACAAGTGTCAGAGAAGGTACTACTGCAGCAGTAGACCAAGAAGTAAGATCAAATTCCTCCTTGCCTTTTGCTAGAACTGATGGGTCAACTGTTTGCTTAATCCAGCCTCAGCAAAAAGGTTATAGTTGCTAATATAAACTAAGAAGTAGAAGAATATATTTCATAATTCCATTTTAAATGAATTATCAATGTCCCTTTTGGGGTGGATAACTATCTTCAGATCCTGTTTCAGTCTCACTTCTACTTCACTATATTGAATGTATGCTATTAAGGAGTGCCAAGTAGTAGTTCAACTTAAACATACCGAGTGCAATTGTTAGATACAGTATGATGCAGCATTTTCATATTGCTAGGTTCAGTAATACAAGAGATTTATCTGAGCAAACACTTATTTAGCTTGCCAGGATACTGTAAACTAGAGGAAGATTTAATCTCGCAGTTAGCAGTTCTGGTACTCGCCTAACTCAGAAAGGCAGACACAGAAGCCTAGATAGATAAAGGCAGGCTCAGCACGAGTCAGCACCTGTTTGTACTTGACAAGGAGGCACTGTCATTGGAAGAGGTTGAATTATTTTAGTACTGATTGAAAAGAACTACCAGCTCCTCACGTCTAACAACTGAACATCTCCTATGATTTCCACTACATTGATCTTTTCGAGTTGTTTAAAACGATGCTTGTACTCCAGAGTGTGAACACCATTAACAGCAACTTTGAACTGGTGGGCATCACAGAAAATGATCAGCTGAAAAGCAAGAAGAGAAACAGTTAAGTTTTAAGCTCAGGTAAGACGTGAAAAACAACCTGATGATCTAGCCTAGACTTGGGCAAGCCCTGCTTCTGCTACAAAGAATGTTTCATGCAAAAGAAACATGTAAAAAAGTGGAACTTCAATAAAATCCATAGAATCATAGAATAGCTCAAGTTGGAAGGGACCCGTAAGGATCATCGAATCCAACTCAATTCAATTAAAATTCATTCTGAGCACAGGCTGAAGTCTTGCAGCTATTTAAAAAGAAAACTGTCATTAAAACCAAGTCAAATCTCTGCTCCCTATGGTTCCATTTAATCCTAAATATTCTCAAGACATTGAAATGTGGGAATGGCAGTTTTATTTAAATCTCTATTAGTGACATGACACTTAAGCACCACTGCTAATCCTTTTGGCAGAATTACCAGTCTGATGCTATGTTTCACTTAATCTTACCTCAAAGTACATCCCTGGACTGAAAGGAAAGTTGGCAACTTCCTTTTCTTCTTCTCCCCAGCTGTCATGAAGGTACGAGTTTCTTACAAAAACTTTATTTTTCACTCGGGGATTCAGATGTAACGCGATGTCCTTTGAGTCACTTGATTTCAGATTTATCGCAAAGCTGGAAGATATTTTTTAAAAGTTTACTATACCAAGGGTTTATAAACACAATGCAGTAGTCCATGCTGTTTACCAAGTCCTTAGCCAATACTCAGAACTGTTCTGGAGCCAGGGCTGTGATTCACCTGAAGAACCAAGCAGGCAGTTAACATGCGTTTGTCTCCTTCACACAGCAACCTTTGCTGGAGGCAGCAAATGTAGGACATGACGCTGCTAGATCTGCTTCATCACTCGCAGCTTTCTGTTCATGTCTCAGCAAGGAGGTATTGAGCCAAGTGGGCCAAGTGCTGCTCCCATACAGCACTAGGAAGCACCGTTCTCACAGAAACATACGGTGCTACTTGCTCCACCATCTTTCTCTTAACTCAGGCGGTGGAGAGTGGGAGGCTTTGTGTTACCTAAAGACATTATATTCTTTCTGCCAACAAACTGGTTAGACTCTAAGAAAAAGTTTGAGGATTCTCTCAGTATGTTTAAGATTGGTGGAACACCATGCATACGTGTTACTTTGTAGGCAGCGTAGCTCTGCCCAGGCTGAAGGAGTACTCTGCAATCTTAGACATGTCCACAACACAGGGTTCCTAAAGGGGAGCTCTGGAGAACACTGATCAGAGGGGAGAGTCATCCAAATTCAAATGAATGCTTCAACCTGTGGCAAAGATCTCACTGCATTTAAAGAAGAAATATTCCTCCCCCCAAATTAGCTCCAGCTGCCAGGTTATTTCCCTCCTTTGAGAAGCCTAGAATTGCTTACTCCAGATACGAAATACAGCAATGGCCACTCTTCCAAGCTGTGAAGTCCTCTTTTTCACCGAGAAAAAGGAACATCTACAGCTGTATGAAAGACATTAAATAACTTAAAAACTCTATAAAAGTCTCTACGTTTAAAAGCACAAAGAGCAGACAACCTGCAATGCTTTAACTAACACCCAAAAGCCTCTTCACACTTACAAGCAGTACATTCAAGCACTTGAAATCTGCTAATAAGCTTTTCAAGCCAAAAGAAGGAAAACAAATGCTACTATCCAAGTATTAATTATCCTGTCCAATTCAAAGTCCATTCAAACTTTGTTGATGAGATTTCTAGACCTTGAGTTCCAGTATTAGTATGAACTGAGTGCTGTTCAGTTGCAGGGAAGATGTGTGCTCTGAGGAAGCAGGACTGCAATGCATACACACCGTAAAAAGCATGCTCCTCACCATTCGCACTAACAAACAACTTCATTTTTAGGCATGTTTCTGCAGAGCCAAAACCACCCTTCAAGCAAAGGGCATGCTGAAGCACAGACATTTCCTCAGCTCCATTTTGATTGTGTTGCACTCCCCTGTTTCCCCCCCCCCCCCTTTAATTGGAAAAATGTCTTCCTTGCAACCTGTTGCTCTTAATTTGTACCAAAATTATAGCTCATACTCCCCTACCAGCTTTCATCACTCAGTTGTTGTCATTCATGCTTACACAGCCCCTGAGGAGGCCGTCTGAGAAGTATTCAGAGAAGCGTCGTAACATGTAGCATTTGAGCACACCAGCAACTCATCTAACTCACTCATTTTCCATCTACTTCTGCCAGTTCCCTTACACTTCTTAATTTGTACCAAAATTATAGCTCATACTCCCCTACCAGCTTTCATCACTCAGTTGTTGTCATTCATGCTTACACAGCCCCTGAGGAGGCCGTCTGAGAAGTATTCAGAGAAGCGTCGTAACATGTAGCATTTGAGCACACCAGCAACTCATCTAACTCACTCATTTTCCATCTACTTCTGCCAGTTCCCTTACACTTGGATCTCTTTAGAATAAAAGCCGTCTTCGTACAATATGTGTGCTCACATGCCTTGCACAATGGAAACCCTGAACAGACACACAATCTTGTGAATGATGCAGATTTAGTAGGTAAGACACTCAGGTTTTACCTTCACTGTTCACAATGGAGACGCTCTTTCAAGTCCTCTCTAAAGCGGTATCCTGCAGGTTCCTGAGAAAACTGCACTGTAGTTTCAGATGATTCCAGATGCAAAGTTGCAAGCGAGTAAGGATATACTGAGGCAATGGAAAAGCCTACTCATTCTCAAGAGTAGCTCAGTTAAATGGCAGAAAAATTCAGTAACACTTACCTCTTTGGGTTTTTATTCACTTCTCCTTTAATGGCAACCGTGCATCCTGGATGAAGTGCAGTATCAAGTTTCCCCACGTAAGGAACTCCCTGGAAGTACACCACCAGTAAACATTTTGACCGTGACTTACTTTTTTCAATATACATGCTGAGCTTTACTATGGCAGGAAGAAATTTGGCCTACGATTGCAAATCTGCACTTATAGCTAAAGTTATTCCTACCAACATGTTCTGAGATACTAACACTATAGTGGAAAAGTTACACTGAAATAAACATATCAACGTGTTGGGTTTTTTCTTTAGATTACCACCTTGGGTTCAAAATAAACATGATTTACAACTACTTCTCCCACCACTAATGGTGGAAAGAGGGGACGAAGCGGGGGGGAAGTAAGCACGAAACTCCCTGCACTAATTTAAATTTGTATCACATAATTATTCAGATACAGACATCCCGACCCCTCCTCTCTGAAAGCTTCAGTTATGCTTTAAAGAATAAGACTCATGCTAGGTGTGTAGTCCCACAGTTGCATAAGTACTAGAAGTAGGGTCACAGTATTCTGTCCTCCTGGCACCAGTTCACAGACAGACAGTGCAAGTATTTTATTTGCGGGTTTTTTTCATTGTGTTAGAAGTTATTTTGATCAGGGAAAAGGAGTGAATGGAGAACTTTGCCTTTATTTTTTTGTTGAAGTCCACCACTTGCAAATGACAATATTGTGTGTCATTCAGGTTTGAAAAGAAGATTAAAGAAGGCAGACTGTCAAGTGACAAGGCAACTAAAATCATGGCACTCACTGCAACTTCACCTTCTCCACAAATTCTATTTGTATATATGCCTGGCTTCCAACCCCTTTTCAGTTTGAGCGTGGTCCTTACTCCAGTCTGGATACTGTCCACCTGTACAGCTTTTTGCAAAAAGATGAGCACTCACTCTGTCTATGCTCCGTGCTAGCTGGGTGCAAGTTCCAACCCTAAGGTGCGATGCTTGCATCCAGCCACCTGAAGTGTATAGAGGGTAAAGCATGGATCTGTCAGCAAGAGGAAGATGTAGCCAGACAGGTTCTGAGATACGCATGTTAACATAAGGCCATTTGGCATAATATGACTGCAGAATACTTTTGTTTTGCAGGGATTCCCTAAGGCAGAGAAAACTAAGTATAAAAACTTTTTTCAAATAAGCAATGTGATTTGGTCCTTTAAAACTTCAGGTACCGCACTTTTTATTTCTCTGTTTATGGCTGTGGATGCTGCATTTATCTTTTGGGTTTTCTATGTGCTTTAACAAATATCCTCACTTTTACTAGCAGCAGCAAAGAGGATTTCTCTCTACAAAACCTCACTGATGATCATCTCCCAGTAGATTCTTGATTCCCTTGTTCTGTGCATGTTTTTTCATGAATAACTGAGATGTTTTTATTGCAATTTTTTTTTACTCTTCACATTTGCCACAAGTCTATATGAGATACTTACGAATTGTGAACCATCTGGCATTTCCCCCTAAAAGAGAAAACAAACATTAACTAGCTTATCAGACAACAGGGAGATTCATTTAACCTTTTACAAACATACGTACATTTTCTGTGTTTATCTTTGTTACTCCTAGAGATGATGGCTGAGAGCCTTGTAAAGACTGCAGAAAGAGAGATATTTAGATGTCATTGCTAACATCACAGAACTTTAACATAAAGTTGGTTTAGAACCGTATAAGGATCTGTGCTGCTTTGAAGGGTGAACTGTTAACATGAAGATCTAGGGCTACGGTAACGAAAAAGAGCCAAACCCCTACAAACCAAGGAAAAGTCCTCAAGATCAATCGCTGAAGCCAACTCAAGATTTCTAAAGACCACCTCATTACAATTTGAATTCTTATTTAACAGTCAGAGCACTGTGAACCTCTTAGCATCTGAGGGTACCCACTGAGCTTCCCTGCTGGGGTAGGAATACCAGCAGGGCAGGTCCATGCGGGGGACCTTGGGATTCTAAGCAGCCCCCTGCACCCCTGTCCCTTCCCATGGGAAGGGCGTATGAGCAGCATGGCCATGCAGACATACAGTTCCAGTTCCTAGCCCTGGCAGATTGTATCTTCAGCTTGTTTATTTCGATACAAGCCTCCCTCTTCCTCCTCAGAAGAGTATATTAGAAGCAACGACAAAAAGGAAACAAATCACCCTTCTCCGTTCCTTTCTTCCCCAAAGGATACAGCGTCAGCAACCACAGACTAAAGCAACTCTGCTTTGTTTTGTGCGTGGGACAGAAATCAACCTACAGCACTGCTTGCCCCCAGGCTCTTCTTGGAGTCAGTCCTCCAAAACCAGGACTCAGCTTTGAAACAACACTATTCTGGCAACATGGCCAAGTGATGGGGCCCATAAAAGTCTGTGCATTTGTGCACAGGCTTCGCAAATGATCAGTGAGTAGATGTATCTTTAAAATTTAGACCCCATTGCATTCAGGCCCAAATCTCCACCTTCCATCAATACAGTTATTAGTCTGCTGACCTGAGTTAGACCTGATGTTTGGCAGCAAGGGACCCAAGCTTTATGCACAGTGTGGTGAGGATGGGGCAGAAGAGACCCAGAATATTACACAGGAGTAGGTAGGCTGCCTTCGTGAGTGGCACGAAGAAAGGGAAAAGGCATCACCTTCTGTTTCTGCTCTAAAAGTCTCACCCTTCCAGAGCAGAAGGATCTTTCCTTCTGCATAGGGGAAAACATGTTGTTCAATTCCTCCCTGTTGGTTTACTTTCTCTAGCAGAGCTGGCAGCTGAGAGGAAGCACAGCACCACCTGCACTTTATATTCACTGCAGTTTGGTCCAAGTGCAAGTCAAGCCACAAGGTCTTCTTCAAGAAAGGACATCTCTTCTCACCCCCCCAGAAATAAACATACACTCCTACTTACCATTTCATTCAACAATTCAGTCATTTTAGCAGGAAAAACAGGGTTATGTGCACAAGCGGTTCCAGCCGTGGCTGAACTTGGCATTTGGAAGCCAAGCAATCAGTTACAGCCGTGGCAGAACTTGTCACTTAGAAGCATTAAATACCAGGAGTTCATTTTGGAGCTCCTGCAATATTTGAAAAGTCTAATCCATTCCCAGATTCAGTATCTGTCCTGTTAACTTTGTAAGCTGTAAACTTTGTCACCCTTTTGCCCCTAACCTCAAGACTAAAAAGGGAAGACAGAGATCCTCACATGAGACTCGCATGTTGAACTGTGGGGAACAAAAGGTCTTGTTACTGACGTTAGACTGTGTAGCTGCTTTTCTTTACTTCCTTTTCACCCTAAATCCTACTCAGTAGTTTCGCAAGACAGAGGAAAGGAATCTAACAAGTCAGCTGTCTATACAACTTACATTAGAAACAAAATCTATAGTTTTGATCTGCACTTTGCCATATATTCCAAGAGTATCTATTCTTTCAAGGCTAATTCTGTGGTTGTAGAGCAGCAAGTGCTTCTTGTTCACAGTCACCTAAAGAGACAGGAAACAAAATAGGAAAATTGTATTAAACATACATCACACCAGCCACATATCAAGTTATATGCATGTATCTGTGTTTTACACTGCTTTGGTACAGAAGCAGGGAGTGTCCTAGAAATTTCAGAGCAACTAAGTTCAGCTCATCCATGATTCAGTCTCTCTCTCCGTTTCTATGAGGGGGATTTATTTGACTACACTAAAATTTGCATTTCATACCTTTTGTTTCTATCACCTGATCATTTACCAGTGTGGTACTGTCAACCTAATAGAATCTATTACTGCAGTCTAACAGAGCAAGACAAATACACCTCACATGTTTCCTCCAAGAGGACTGTGCTACACTAGTCACAAAACAGGTTTACCCCAAGGTCAGCCCTTTGCACGTAAGAAGGGAAGGGTGGAGTAGCCATCAGCCATGGCAGGAAGTTACTTGCCAACTCATCCAACTTAGAGGGAAGCAATACAAAATTAAAGGTCTGATTTACTTAGCACCTCTTTAAAGAAAAGCTTCTAAACTTTTCTGTAGTTAGACTATACCTAGTTAACAGAGAAACCAAGGCTTCCAACTATTTATTGTAATATACAAAATACCTCTCTCATATTGGCCTGACAACTGGCTACGGATAAAGAAGCGACCAAGACTCACCTGGAATTTATCCTTTAAAATCATGATGACAATCTCAAATGACTTCCCTTTTTGAAAGGGCATCTCGTAAGTGATCTCTTCCCAGCCCCATTTTTCTCTCTCCAGTGTGTTGCAAACAATGCAGCCAGACCTTTTGAAGCGGGGGTTGAAATGGAATGCCACATCAGCTCGAGGCTTTATGCTACTGCCACACTGTAAATCCACCTGGAACCTAATCATAAAAATAAGACAAACGACATTCAGCTCAGTCTGTCAAAAAACCACCCAGAAGTTCGATACACTTGTGTTTTACTGTGAAGCCTCAGAACAGGCAGACACAATGAGTGTTGTTGGATAAGGAAAAAAACCCAAACATATTTGTCCAACTCCTACATGTTTGTGAAAGGTTCTCCCTTGATTTATTGCAATAAATTAAAATATTTAAGTATTTATTTAATGGTCATTATTCATATCATGTAAGCTCCTCACTTAACTGTGTTCACCACCTTCCCTCCCATCATCTTCAGTAGAATAACCAAATGAACTTTGGGCAAAGTCAGGGAACAGAACCCCCATACTGGGCACACACACTAGGTTCATACCTCTTTATCCCAGTTTAAGTTAATTACTTCATGCAACACACTCAGTTATCAATTTTGTTAGTCTCAGATAACATCTTTAGACAAGCACACATATGCTATGACAGGGAAAAAAAAACATTGCCAAAGCAGGCAAAGCAAAAAGAGAGAAGAGAGGATCAGCAGAAAGCAAAAAATCAGTTCATCATCCACTTCTCATCACAAAGCTTTCATTAACCACTTAAGCCTGTACTCATTCTGATGCTATCACAAGGATTTAGATAAAGCCTTTGTGTGCCATCATAAGTAGGACCCCTGGAAACATTTACATTTTATCCATTACATTCTTGTTCACATGGTGACACTGCAAAAAGTGACACTGTAGCCACTACCTGTCTGCATCATCAGGAACAGTCCCATGTATCACAATCAGCTCTCCAGGAACAAGGCCACCAAGTATTGTCCCAACATATGGAATGATCTAGAAGGGGGGGGGGAGAGAAGAAGAAAAAAAAGATTCAAATAGCATTTTGTGATGGAAGCAAAAAACCCCACAATAGTTTTAAAAATAATATTCTAATAATTATGCGGTGCTCTAGCACATTAAAAGAAACACAACTAGCATTTCATTTAAAAGAAACAGTAGAAAAGCACTAAATACCCACCACAACGGGAAGGAAAAACCCAGCAGATTTTCATCTATGAAAACCAAGCTTCTCAGATAAAATTAAGCATTCCTAGCTCTCAGATGAAGAATGGCAATATTTTATTGCCTCACTTTTAATAGAGTATAAAGAGGATTCACTTCAAATTAGGTCATTGCCAAGGGCTGACTATTATCAGCCCTTTCCTGGTAGCAGGAGGCACCTTCCACAACCTTTCTGACCCCAGACCACAGCAGCTGCCTTTTTGCTTGTTCTTGCTCCATTTTGGAAAACAGTGATGGGAAAAGAAGAGACTATGTCACAGAGTGTCTTCTTAGTAAAAACTACACGACAAACACAACAAAATACCTCATCCCAATGAGCTAAGAACCGCAAGGTGCACTGAAATAGCCCTGTTCAGGGGTCTCGGTCTTTATGCTTGATCTGAAAGCAAAGCTGTAAGTCTGCATCTCATCACATGCGCTTTAGATTGAAAAAGGAAGTAAATGGTAGCAAATGTTGCATTTTCTCTGGTTAACAGACAAAAATTTCTGCCAAGGTTGTTTTTTGTTGGTTTTTCCCCCAAAATCCCTTATTTATGGAACAGTGTATAAGATTTTAGGACGTCTTTGAAATGAAACATCAATTGCAAACAAGAGTTCCAGTAATTTAACAACAAAAAACGCACAGACTGGAAATACTACTCTTGAATGGAATACTGGACCATAAAAGGACAACTTGAGATTTTTATTTTTTAAATATATATATATATAATCATGTGAAACAGGAAGATATGAAAAGGGGATGTGTTTGCTGACACCTATTCTTGTGAATTTGTGAGAAGGGAAGGGGGAATGACAGCAAAAATTGTCTAAATACAGAGTGTTGATCATTTCTGCCAGTAGATACACATACTTTTCTGCCCTCTCTCTCCACTTCCCTTCTCAGCTACCCTCACATTGCACAAAACCTAATTTGCAGGCATCTTCTACATCAGGCAAAACGGACTTAAAGAACTTGCTTCTCAAGCATAAGCTCACAAATGGTCAAGTTGTTTTAAGTCTCACATATTTTTATTGGCTTAAGCAGGTGCAGTAGAGGAGGACCAAAATGTGAAACTAAGTGTTAAAAGTGAAAGAATAAATAGGCTGAAATCCCTTTGCTTACTAGTAGTGCCTTGGTTCCTTAATATAAAAGCTGTACACAAGAGGCTCATTTTTATTCAAAGAATAAGAACAATAATAACAAATAAGAAAAAAAACATATCTTGATTATTTTAGTTTTAACACACTGCTCCTGAGGGGTAGTAGCTCTGAGTAATGCAGTAGAGTAATAAATTACTGGTTCAGTCTCCAAAGACAAACCAGAGAAACACACAAACACAGGCCAATGATGCTGGGACTTAACCACTCTAGTGGATCAAAGTTATTTGCCCCTGGAAGAGAAGCTGTGGCAAAAAAAAAAAAAAATCTTTACATTCAAAAGGATGCATTTATTTAAGAGGGAAGAAGATTGGCCCATCAACTCTTCAGAAGCTCAGACATAGAATCTGTAAGACCATAATAGAGCGTTTCCTGGGTGCAATACTAGAGACTTAATGAGGTTTTGTCATCACAGAACGTGCCTGTAATTTCCTCACATCTCAAGACATTCTTCTACTACCTCTTCCTCCTTTATTAAGAGTAATGCTTGTGACACCACATGATCTACACCAGCATCCCAATTCTCTTCCAGACCTCCAAAAATTACCTCTGAAGCCAATTGGTGAATGTCAACTGAGTTTGAGAGGTCTCGAAGATGAAGTTCTTTCTAATATCTGCCAGTTTTCATAAAACAAGAGGACAGATTATGGTCTTACAGAGGAAAGGACTGTGATAACACAGCTTTCATGCAGTTTGCTGGGTAGCGGACAGCTGCCCCATCAGATGGGGCATGACAACATTTCTTGCCAGATGGGTGGAGTAAAGGGCATAAAGAGGAAAGCAGGATTTTCTGGATAATTCAGAACAGTACAGTAGTGAAGAAATAAGTCTCAGACCCAAACCTGTAACAAAGCTCTTAAGATTTGCTGCTCATGGAACAATTCACTGAAACAGTGAAATCTTCATTGCCTGCCCTCCTCCATCCCTACTAAGTTCATCTTGTGATATCACATAGGTGACAGAATCACAGAAGGGCTGAGGTTGGAAGACACCTCTGGTGTCAATGCCTTGTTCAAAGCAAGGTCAGACAGAGCAGGTTGCAAATGGCCTTGTCTGGAGGTTGTCCTGAGGCCATTGGCACAATCTTTCCCAACTCTGTCTCCATATTCCTATCCCAAATACTCACTCTTATTCCCACCTTATAAGCCCTAGTTTACCCCTTTATATTCTCCAGCCTGCTCTTGTCACCCATCACAGTCATCAGCCCCCTTGCAGCCATCCAATTTTGCTGAACTCTTACTCTCTCGCTTACACAGATTATTTGTCCTGAAGACCTCCTAATCCTCCTCTTCACACCTCCTCTCCCACCAAAGTCCCCATCTACCAATTTTCATCCTCCCTTTCCTTTTGCAGCTCAGTCCTTCCACCTTCTAGCTAATCTCCACACAGCTTTCCTTCCTCTCCCAGCTGGGTTCTTTGAAGAAGGTTGAAGCTATTCCCCCATCATCCCTAACTCTATCCACTTTGCAAGCAGTGAACATATAGTGGGATTGAACAATCAGATTCACTGAGGGCATAGGTGTGTATCAGTGCGAAGCTGCAATAGATAAGGAACTCCTGTGCAGATCTGCGCTACTGTACACTCCACGTAGGTACTCTACAGACTTTAATATTTTTGAAGAGTTCTAGCACAGAATGGTAAAAATACTATTTCCTGCAGGCTCAAAGGAACTACCCTTTTAAAGATACAATGAAAAGCACAGCTCCAGCCCACCCCTTTAGCCACATGCCAGTGTCGGGCCACTGTCCCAGATCATGAGAATACTAGGGCTTTTCAGAGAAGTCTCCAGACTCCAAGCTAGGCAAACAACATTCCGTCAGATCCACTCTCTGCAATGGCTGAATCGTGTTAGCTCAAGTCTTCCTTACAAAACAGGATTTATTGTAAGGTATGATATCAACTATCAAAAAAGATTCCAAGTTTAATTGTTCAGACTGAAGTTACAAGCACCACAAAAAAAAAGCCAGGCACCACCCATGTTTACAGAGAATTAGAAGTGAAAACACTGCTTATCATATTTTCACCTTTGATCCAGCACATTCTGCAAAAATGCCAGACATCCAATAAGCTGTGTATGAAAAAGGATTACCCTCCAAGGCCGACAGAACTTCCTTCCTGTTTTGGAAGTCCTGTGCATTAAGTGTCCAGTTGCTTACAGCACAATTTCTAAACACCATCAGCTCCTAGTGTCACCTGTGACATCCTTCCTCAAATACCTGAGCAACGCAGAGAGTTCTCAGTAACACCCCTCACTATGCAAAACAGTACAAGTACTAACTATTGACATAAACCAGCAAAGTCCCATTTCCCAGGGGAGAAGTTGTTGACATGACGGGGAGTTACCGGGTTACTGATTGTCTTCTGTGGTCCATCCAAGGACATCATCTTCCCTCCTCCAGTTTAAGTTTGTCAGTTCTGTGTGACCACTGCTGGAGCGTATTTAAAGGACTCGCTGCTCGGACAGCACCAAAGGAGGGATCCCTTCGAAAAACCAAAACTTTTAATTAGAAAGAACAAAGCGATACTACATGAAGTGAAACCCTCCAAGGTATAACTTTAAACAGCACAAGAAACGATGCAAACATCTTTCCTTTCCAATAAATTTGCTGGAGTTTTGAAATACGAAAAGTAAAGGCTTGGTTAAAGAAATAAGGTGCCACCCTAACAAGGGACAGTGCACACAGGTACACAATGCCATCAGCAGCTTCCTGAGATTATGTATACTGAGACAGAATCCCACGTAAAAATCATCATTGTACAGGGGAACACTGATAACTTGGTGCCCCTCAGCTGGGCCCTAATAGCTCTCCATTTGCAGCCGACCCCTGCCTGCAGACAGGGAAAAGATACACAGTACAAAAGCAGTTTTTCCAAGACAACCAACCAACCATTTCTGCTTCCTTTATTTCTGTGCTATCCCCAGATTTTCCAAGGCAGACAAGCCCTAGGGGCTGAACTTGCTTTTTCCAGTTTTATCTTACATAAAGTTAAGAGATATTAGGCAAAGACATAGCAGAGAAGCAAAGGGTATTTTATGTTTCTTCCTCCAACACATACAATCCCTGAACTCCACAAATAACTACAGGAGTTTGTAAAACTTGCATTAAATGCACAGCATTAACAAGAAATGAAACATCAGCTTGTGAGTATATCCAGCTACACTGGAATTTCTTTAGCAAATCTTCTAATGAAGTGACCAAAATTCAGGGCCCAACTGAAACTACTACGTAATTATTTCTCACACATTCTGGATAAGTAACTTAAGGTAGCATGCAAACTGTGTGGTAATGACAGGGAAAAAGTCAAAGGTGAGGGTTCTAGCATAACTACTGTGTGACAACTGCTAGCAACATTAAAAGGAAAAAAAAAGAACAAAAAAAAAAACCCACACCACCAAACCAAAAACCCGATGTCTGTGACCTGTTCCACAGGGCCCTGAAATTAAATCTTCTGAAATGATTCAACAACAGAGTGGCCCATTGCAACATCTGGCTTATCTTGTGGGAGATTCGGGCCAGAAGGGTATGAATTCTACTTAAGACCAGTGTCTAGAATGCAATTCAGAGAACATAAGGTGCCAATGCTGCTTAACTGTTTTGCCCCTTTGATCTTCTCATGGGATACCACCATCAATCCACAACAGAACTGTGCAAAGGCGGGCACGTTTCATTATTTTCATTTTAAAAAGGAGGAAATCAAGACCAAAGCAAACAATTCTGACTTTAGCATCGGAAAGTCCAATAGCAGACCCCCAAAAATTAAACCCACACCTACGACCCCGCGTCCTGCTAACTGAACTTCCCTGGGTGTGCAACAGCAATCTAGATCATGCTGAAAGAGGATTGTGGAACAGAACTGACTGTCGGTCTTGGCAGACCAGGTGGCACTACGGCAAAGTGATGGGTTGAGGGGTTTTTTATTAGTTTTTTTACTGAAAAGGTCACAATAATGAGGGAAAGCTGCAATTCAGGCTCTGACAAAACAGGAGATGGGCATGCAACTGCAAGGTTCTCCTGTAACCTTCTATCAGAGGAACCACTGCCAGTACGTTACACCAAATCTTGTCTGCAACACCGTAAGTTAAGGTTTCCTGACTATGCTTTTAGAACTGAAAAAGATACGTATGCTTTCCTGTTATCTCACACATCGCAAAGCAGCTGAAAACCTCTTCAATAAAAAAAAGACAGGAAAACAGGAAGGCCAACAACCAGCTATTACGCTGTCCCTCTATGACATGCAGAAAATATCTTTCATGAGGGTAACTCGAGTTAGACTTTATGATCAAAGCCAGATTTTACACCGAGGCAAACATGACTTCTGCAAAGGGAATAAGCGAGGTACTTTCTGGATATTTGCAAGCAATTAAAGCACAAAACACCAGTGGCGCGCCCGGCTACAAACCCAACCCTACAACACGCTAGAATGAGACAGGACTAGTTTCACCGAGAAACCTCGGCCACTTCAGCCTTAAGGCGCTCCGAGAAAGCCCCGGCTCCACAGAGCGCCTCCCTCAGCCGGGCCCGCCTCGGCCCCGCCGGGGAGCAGCCTCTTCTCCCCCACAGGCAGACACGCGCGGGGGGGGGGGGGGGGGGGGGGG